TGACTTTATTCTTCCGCTGTCATCTATCGGCTTTTTTGATGAATCAGCTCATTCGACGTCAATGAAAAGGCAATTAAACCGACGCCACAGTGCGAAACAACGATTGTTCCATCCGGCCCAGGTAGTGCTGGCAAAGGACTGCAAAAACAATCAGGAAAAATGGGCACTTTGACGAATTCACCAAAAGTGTGGTGACGTCGTCTATGAGATTCGGGTCGGCTAAGACATTTGGGTGCGCCACGCCAATTAGCTGAAACACAATGAATGCTTAAGTGCCAAATCCAAGGCCAAACTTATCACTGGAACTACTACTTGACACGTTCGGTTTGCCAAAACCAAGGCAAGAACCCATAGCTCCAGGGTCAGATCTATCTTCCTTAGACGGCCAGACCGAAGATGAACGCAAACGGTTCCGTTGCAGGTGAACCCGCGGTTCAAATCTTACGACGTCGCTCAAAGGAGATGTATTAGGAGCAGACCTAACGACCCGTTATCACGCTGTCCTGATTACTCATCTTACGGTGCACTATCGATCGGTACAAGCCGCGAGAGTGATGAGATCGATAAAGGTGCCTGCCGTGATTAGTGTTCTGTCCTATCACTCTGCTCAATCCGAAAGTCACTCGGCGTATTATCCCTCTCTTGTGGCCAGAATCTGATTGGCCCAATCTTGTACACTTGTACGCAGTTCTAGGAATGTGAAAAGACTTCTACTTGTGCGCTCTTCTTGTTGGGTTCTTCCTTGGGGACTCAAACAAGCCCTAATTGGACGGTGATATCGCGGCTCTTGGCTAACTCACGACGCAGGTGAGTAGTGAAATGTCACTTTCATAAATTATTTTGATGAACTATACAAACGATTAGGCACGCTTTGCAATTCAGTTTATATTGGGTACACAGGGCTCTGTTAAAAGTGACAACCCTCTATGTAATGCAAATGATATTCCTTTCAGAAGAGTAGTTGGCAAGCATGTTAAGGCTTTTGAAAAATTCCTATCGGGCCATTAAAGTTATATGAGAACGAGATACAAGGTTAACAATCCGTCAATAATGTTTGTGTTTTCGTACAAGCGAGTCGTAGGAAAAGATTGCTATAAATTAGAACAATAAATTTAAATCTGCTCGTAATTTTAAAGGTTAACGATACCACTTTCTTTATATCCAAAGAACTTTTGTAATTCAACAAATACTAAACATATTTTTCGATTTAATTACAAGTACTTAGAAATGGACCTTTGAATGCAGGTAAATTTTCCAGCGTTTTCAGTGTCTTCAAGCTTTAGTGCATAAATCAACCAAATTCACTCAGTGGATCAAAATAACGTGACCAACTAAACGCTAAATTACCAAGTCAAATCTCGTCATGAAAGTTGCACTGTTCCTGGGCCATACTGTACACTTATATGGAAACGGGTTACGATACAAACAGGCCATGAATAATGTTCGCCTTTTCGTACAGGTGAGTTGTGGGAATGGGGGGAAGGGATTGATAAGGGATGAACGGTTTCGCGAACAGGGTTTGGTAGAGCCAGTCGAATGCGTCCGCGAGGCCGAGAACGCTTTGAGCGAACACTAACAGTCGATCGGTCCACAGTACGTCAAGGGGGAGGTCGACAACCACGTCAGCCGCAAAGAGGCGCAACATGGAGCGAGCCCGCCATTGGTCGATAGTGGAGAGGCCACAACCAATGGACATAGTGCGCACGAGGTCCACGTATCCCTGAAAGGTCGTTGGGCCCATAAACTATGCTTTTCTTGCCGCGGTGAACCATCCTCCCTCGTCCTCTTTCTCCTCATAGCGCGTCACTGTGCCCCTCTCGGCGCGTGGATTGACGTCCTTTTGCCGGCGCAGGCGTCTAAACGTCGTAATCTGGGTCATCTATGGCTCAAACACATAGGGGGAAAGGCCGGGTTTCTGACCGATGAGACTGTTTTTGACGTTGGGGGC